GAAGCTATAACTACATAATAATAAGAAGAGGTATCGATACACAGTAAAGTGTGATGAGATTTTGGATGTTCAGCGCTAGTGATGATGTAATTTTTATTGGATTTCACTAAATCAATCATAGGTAAATACGAGTATAAATATGTTGAATTTCTCTTGTTCTTAGCCAGTCATACTCCTCTTCATCTACTCCTGACAATATGTTACCATTAAAACGAGTGTAAAATTAAATTAATCCGAGTTGTAATCACAGAGAAATATCCATTTATACATCGGCTACTATGTCAGAAATCAAAACGGAGAAATGAGGGTTTTTATATTTTTCACAATGAGTGACCGCCTGTGTGCAAAATGGGTGAACGTATGTGATATATCTATTGTTATTACTTACTGCGACATATCCATGACTAACTGACGCCACTAAATTGGTAAAATGTTCCATGCACCTTGAGAAATTCTGAGAAATTCTGAGGTTACCATCGCAGAACGCGCGAACTTCGCTCATCCTGACATCACAAAGCTAATATGTCAACAAACGCACGCGGTGTACCACACTACAGTAAGGTGTGTTGTGAGGTGTTAGAACTATTTTGGGCGTGGGATACTTGTTGGATCACTAGCAGATGTACATGAATGTACATGAATACATGTAATGACAGCTGTAGCAGGGTTGATGCTGAATGATACTGGCTTAGTTAATATCGTGGTTGTATCATGTCTCTGACGTCATAATGACGTCAGACGCTGCTTACTAGACATGTACGCGGGCAAGCAAAAACGCTCTGACAGTTCACATGTACCGTTATATGGAGAAATGAGCATGTACACAGGTGGCGCATAGTGTTAGCCATCGAATAAAGTTGAAAACGAAAAATCGATGAAATTTCATGCACAACGTGGAGAGTATCCTTAAGACTAATTTTGTTTCTGACAACGGGCCCCAGGTACCCAGCAGCAGAATCACTGTCTGCCAGATGGCAGCACCGGCACCGAGAACGGCCACGACGACAAGAAGTCGGGTGATTGCGGCAACGACGTCGACGACACGACGTCGATCGAGACGCTGGAGGAACAAGAGAACATCACGAGGCTCGAGAACTGCTCTCTGTCCGCGGCGCCGCGACCGGCCGTCGCCGGCGCCCCCGTCAAACGCTACGGTATGTCGCGCAGCGCCATCAAGCTCGATGCTCCCCCGAGCGACACAGTGGCGCCACCTGCCATGAACGGCAGCGCGGACACCGGCGTCGATGCCGAGACGAAGCCCCTTGATGTCCCTTCGACAAAGTTCTGTTCTGTGCGTCTGGAAAAGATGGCGAGCGGTGGCGGCGGGGCGGCGGCGCGCCACGGCAAGCCCGGCCGGCCAGGCCCGACACTGAAGCGACGACGGGCGATGCCAGTGTCGTCGCGCCGCAAGAGCATGCGCCTCATCAGCGACTTCTACAGTCCTCCGGGCGACAGCGGCTACGCGCCGCAGAGCGACGGAAGCGTCGGAGGAGGAGGAGGAGGAGCGCCGGAGAAGGAAGGCGTGAGGCTGGAGAGGCTGCGGATGCTGGGAGAAGCCATACATGGAACGTTCCACGGGCAGATGCTGTTCCGCACGCGCTGCTCAGAGTGCGAGACGTACACGGAGCGTCACGAGGCCTTCCAGGAGATCGGGATTCAGGTGCAGCAGGGATCGGATCACAGCCAGCTGCAGGAGGAAGACGGTGAGTGCTGCGTACTGCGTCCTTGTCTACTTCTATGCCCACTGTGCCTTCTATTCTTCTGCCTTCTTCCGATAGAATGCGACAGCACAGGTGCTAGCGGTCAACACCACTGTTGTAGCTCGCATGAGAAAATGTGTTCTGCCAAATCTGTCTAGTGCAGTTCGTTTTTATTATTTTTATTATTTTTTCTATCATTTTATTATTTTTTTATCATTGCTCGTGTTTTTGACGATGCGTTGCGTCCGCTTGCAGACGACATCATTGGACCTGACGACGAGAACTGGATCGCGTCGTGCATCCACGAGGTGGAGACGTTGCGCGACGACTGCAAGTACTTCTGCAACGTGTGCCAGTGCTACTGCGAGGCCCAGCGCTTTCTGCGATACGCTCGGCTCCCGCGCATGCTCTCGTTGCAGCTCAAGCGATTTGCACTCAACACGGGGTGCGTTGCTACCGTCCGCACGCTCGTGTAGTGTGAGGACGCGTCTTACTGTCGGCGCGCATCCGTTGGATGTGTGTGGTGTAGGAGTGGTGCGGTTGTCTGTGTTGGTGGTACACTCAGTCCAGCACGTGTAGCTGAACGGGGAGATGGTGGTCTGGTATCAGGAGTTTGAAAATGGGGCGACGATTGTGAGCCGGTGTGTGTTCGATGGTGTCGCGAAACATGGTAAAGCTGTTCTGGTGTCCGACAATGATTTGTAGCGCGAAAGCTTTCTGGTGTGGGTTGGGTTGTGGTGGTTGTGTGTGGGTGTGTCGTTAGGCGGTAGTTCATATATACATATATATATATACATACGTAATAAACCGTTAATCACGTACGCGTTTGGATGTTTTTAGGCTCCTCGGTGGCATCAGCAAGCTGAATAACTACGTGACGACGCCGCTGCGTCTGCCGTGTCCCGCCTACGCCTGCCAGAGCTCCCCCGGCCACCACGCGATCAGAGAATACGAAACTGCGTGCGCGCACCAGTACGAACTCTACGCCGTCATCATGCACCAGGGTATCTCTCTGCTCTCCGGCCACTACGTCGCCTACGTCAGGGCGCCCCCGGGCGGCGGCGACCCGGGCTTTGGGGACGAAAGCGAGCTGTGCGCGCCGCGCCCGGGGTCGCCGCTCGTCGCCGATGCGTTCGCGCCGAGCGCCGAACGTGCGTGCGGCGACGGCGGCGCCACCTGCAACGGCAGCACGAACGGGTTCGAGCGCGGGGCGGCGGCCGACCGCAGCGGCGATCCCATGTGGTACGAGTGCGACGACGACAGCGTGTCGGAGCTCTCCCAGGCACAGTTCCTGCGCATCCTGTCGGGAGAGGGCGCCGGCTCCATGACGCCCTACCTGCTCTTCTACGTGTGCACCGAGCGGCAGACGTGAGTGGCGGCGGCCATCTTGGAACTCGCGATGTTGTTTTCAGGAATATTTTATTATCGTTCGAGAAACGCGGTGCGCGTCGGATAGCGTCGTTGTTATCCGTGCGCTAATCTGCCACCGAATAGTTTGTTTGGGAGTGTGTTGCCTGCGCCGCGATCTTGTGTTGGTGCAACGAGATGCTGGGAGCCCTCTGGGAGAGCTTTCGTTACGGAGCAAATAAGTTTGTGCGAGGAACTCCATTCTCGATTGGTTCTGCATCCAAAAGGTTCATCTATTGTTTTGTTTTGTTGGTGCGGGTCAAAGGCATTCCTGTTTTCTAGTGAGGGGCAGAGATGTAATGTGGTTTCTGTGAGTCGGTCTCGTGACGGTTTTGAAAGAAATGCTTGCTTGGGGTTCTTGCCGATGACAGGCGTATATCGTTTTGTGCGTGTAAAGTGTACAAAAAAGAATATTTTGAAAAAGTCCTGGCACTTGTTAATAGTCAGTGTCGCATTTGTATTTATATAGGGTTGCGACCGCCATAATATCTCATGCTGTTTTTCTTGCTGGGCCTAAACGAGTTTAGCAGACAATGTAGTTCCCATTTTGTATTTTTTATATAATGCACACAGGTACCTGATGTAGATAATTGCAGTAAAACGTCACACGTGGGCTGTTTTTCAGCAGAACATGTGCATCGAGTGGTACAATGTGTCTGAATTCACAAAATTACTGGCACGGCAATCTCTAGGGATATATCTCACTATCACCAACATCACTAATGCTTACCTTTAAACAGGTGAGAATGTGATTTAAGTGGTCAAGAAGCCAGGGATAAGATTATCGTAGGCCCGAGTTTAGAAACACCAAAGATGCGGAGTGCATCTAAATGAACCTCCAAGTTCTGTTGTGTTATTGTCAAGTATATTATAGTATTAATAAATATTACATTTCGACATAGGATTACGATTGTACAATCGCTTTTAACGTTTCTTAGTGGATTTTCTTTCATGTTGCATTATTCTTATTATCATCAAAAAATGCATAGTGTATATCTATACGTTTGTGTTATGATCTCTACTACATAATATCAGGAGTGAATAATAGAGATCTATTATACACTCTTGATAATCGACAAATTTTTCTCATTATTAACCCCTGATACCATGATACCATCATGATACCATCAGGAGTAAGATAATATATTATATATTATCTTATCTCCTATATCTTACTCCTGATAACATGTATACAAAACTGAGACAAGTGTGTTTTCGCACGACACGATGGCGCCACCAATCCTCAGGAAGTTCCTTCTCATTATTTACACGAAGTGTTGACTTTTTTAGTCATACTCATAGATATTACTATAACTAGTCATAGTGTGTCCCTGGATATATACAAACATACTACACGAGTAGTGTTTGTGACATAGAGTTTGTGTTCTTTGTTTTCGTAATTGCTATATTTTTGCTTTATAATTTATCGAAGAATCAGAATCAATGTATTCTAATTCAGAAACAGAAACAGAAAATTTAGTTATTTTTGCACAGCCGAGCCTGCGTGCGGTGATACTTGTGAAGTTGTGTTGCAGAGGAGAATTTGAACGGCATTTGCAGGTAAATACAGTTCAGACGCTCTGCCACTGGCTCTACAACACACAATTTCACTGTACGCCTACCAGTACCACTGTGCACGAACTCACACTCACAGAGACTGAGAGAGATAGAGATGAGTTTTTGTGCAGTGGCGTGCGTTCTGTGAAATTGTGTGTTGCAAAAGAGCATTTGAACGGCATTTACCTGGAATTATATTGGTCAATAGAGATCAATAGAGATCAATTGATCAATGGTTTAAGGATACATAAATATTGAGACGTTGGCAGTAACTACATTTCGTGCATGTTTATTTACCATCATTTTTTACTGGTACTGGTAGGTCTAGTACTGACAAGTTGTATTTATTAACCATCATTTTATTATTGAAACGGCCCAAGTGCCTGTGCTAGTAGTACTACACGTTACAACAGGAACAATAACAACTGACACGAGTTACTAGTTGAACTTCAAGTAGTACTTGCAGCCTCACGCAGTAAGTTGGATATGCGATAGATAGTAATTGATTAACAACATAAGGCAATAATTACGCATGCTTGATATATTTCAGCGTATCTTCTGTTGTCTTGATGATGACAGTTGCTGACGGCAGCCACAAGCGGAAGCTACGTCTGTGTCGTAAGCCAATCCACAAGCTGCCGATTAATAGAGATGATACTAACAGCGATCATGGACCGCCAGATCCCAGCCTAAACTCATCTGCTACAGAAACATCTGACATCTCTGTAAAGTCTGACCAGGTGCCACTAAATATGAGCTAGTATTAATAACAGAGAAATGCTTGGCATCAGTGACAGTCAGAATCTCCCGTGCAGCCGGAGATACAAATTGGAACAGAACATTTCTATTCCCTTTTTATTTTTTTGATTGATTGATTTATTTCGATAATTAACAAAGCATACGTTACATCGATAACAGCATAAATAAACAAAATGAAGCTAGAAAATTATCGAGGGTGAAAACACAAAAAGCGTAGCTAACACACTTATTTCCATTGTGGTCCAACAACATTGTACATACTATACTATAAACTATTGCAAATATACCCACGATCCCCTAAATTTCTGAGTGATACAGTGATACAGTACAAAACATTGACATACAGCATAAAGAAAAAATATATGCAAAAAAAAACTTCAGCATATTATGTACAAGTAAAGTGATTAAGGTAAGTGTTGAGCAGTTAAATAAAAAAATAAAAAAAATAAAAAATAGAAGCTTTCTGAGTGATACAATACAAAACAGTGCTATATACCATGAAGAAAAAATATAAACGAGAAAAAAACGAGTAAATGTTTAGCAGGTAGAAATGATGTTTCCTGAGTGAATACAGTACAAAGCAGTGCAGAACAACATGAAGAAAAACGAAATACATACAAAAAAACTTCATCAAATTTTGTACAAGTAGTACCCTTTTAGCACATCATTTTGACACTCGGTTCGTACACCATTATATCAAGAGCTAATAATACCTAGAGTGTACAACGAAAAAACGGGAAAATAGTGCTATTTCACGACAACATTATTCTACTTTGCCTGCGAGTCTAGAGAGCAAAGAATTCTACTTAATGCAATACCATAAAATTATTCTAGACTCGCAGGCAAAGTAGAATAATGTTGTCGTGAAATAGCACTATTTTCCCGTTTTTTCGTTGTACACTCTAGGTATTATTAGCTCTTGATTATATCCACATTACAAACATAACATGTTTCGCACACACTCACATTTGTATAGATACAAACGTATTGAAAAGTGCAATAGTGTTGGGCAGTTAAAATGGTAATTTTGAGTGATACAGTACAAAGCAGTGCATATACAACATGACGAAAAAATAGATACAAGAAAAAAACTTTAGTATAGCCTGCAGGCTAAGTGATTAAGGTACACTTTACCATCATTTCGACACTCATGTACGTACATCATTATATACATATTGCATACATACATACACCCACACTCATATTTATATTTAAGTGTAATATAATTCTATGTAATATAATACTCATATCAAGTATAAATAAACTGATAATTTTAATAGTGATGAGATCATATTACCCTTATATTTAATCTATTCATTTATACGAGATTAGTAAAATATGAAGTCACTGTCTTCCATTGTCTTAACCTTTTCCATAAGGTGTTTTTTAACTTGCCCTTTGAAACTAATATATCTGGCTGCAGATCTAATGTGAGGTGGTAGGGAGTTCCAAGCTTCAATTGAAGTGTATATAAATGTCTTTTTTCCATTGACCCCCACTCTTGGTTTAAAGATTGACAGCTCCCCAGCCCTAGTTTTGAAGCCGTGAATTTCCGAGGTTAATGTAAATCCATCAGTCAGTTTTTAGCTCATCTGACATGGTCAGATGCAGCTTGTAGAATCGCATGATCGTCCGTGCGTCCGTCCGTCCGTCCGTCCGTCCGTGCGTCCGTCCGTCCGTCAACAGTTGGGCACAAATCTTAACCGCTCGACGTACGGTCACGATATTCGGGACGTGGGGGGGTAATCCGAAAACGAGTTGGGTTTTTTTTACCGTACCACTAATTAATGCGTAAAATCGCCACCACACCATAGACGGTATTTGGGGTTCTTGTATATATAAGATAGCCGAGTCTGTGTACAGTTAGTGTTGTGTCCGGGACAGGTTAACTGTTTGTAATTGTGTATGGTCTGCAGTGCATGCGTGGTACGGTAAAAATACACGCGTCGGAGGTCCTGGTCGAATGGGAATTCTTGACGATCGATTCCCGCGCTGTCAAACTTTTATTGTGGTGGAATTTAATCGGGGCGGAGGTAATTTAAACGGGGCGCAACGATTGAAACAGGGGGGGAGTTTTCCCAAACGGGGCGCGCGCGCCCGGTTTGCGCAACGTAGGGAGAACCCTGGGCATCATATGATTTATAGTGGCATCGGTGGATGTGCGGCATATTCAAGTTCGAATACGGGCATCAGTGGATGTCCGGATGCGTAGCCTGGAGGCTAGGCCACCGATTCCGGACGTGTGGCCACTGCGTATTCGAATAAACCTTCGGTCTATCGGGCCTTCGGTCTATAGGGCTGTAACCACGTAGACTGGTCTCCGGCGCTAAACTCGCGCCACATGTCACAAACAATGGGGCCGCGAACCAGTCTAACCAAAGCGTGCAAGCTGTGGCAAGCTACGGTCACTGTATGACACAGTACGTAGGTACGTACAGTACATGATAATTTGCTTCGTAGATTTGACTTTATTATCTTATCCTTATACCTAGAGAGTTTTTGCCATTTGTTCATGTGATGATGTGTGCCACTGTGGCGAGTGCTGGGTGAACTTTGACCTAACATCGGTCGCTGTCGCTGCAGTGTGTTTGCGCCAGTCGCTGTCGCTGCAGTGTGTTTGCGCCAGTTGCTGTCGCTGCAGTGTGTTTGCGCCAGTCGCCGCGACTTTTGTCGTTTGTCGTTACGGTCGGTCGCTGTCGCTGCAGTGTGTCTTGGCCTTTAAAGAGACAAAGATGGTTGCGGGTGGCGCCAGATTTCGAAATAACGCCTTGGGAAATAAATTCACGATTTGAGAGTTTAGATGAGTTAGAACCCTAACCCTAACCCTAACCCTAACCCTAACGCCAAAAAGGGGCTTCAACGAACGATGGCTGCTGTACCTCTAGCCCGACCAGGCTGTGCGACGGCTTGTCTATATTTGAAACGGTATTCTAACCCTAGCAATACCGTTTCTTGGAGCTACCGTACCTCCAGCCACTGCGTATTACTTATAGCAACATGGCAGACAAGAGGAAAACGCGAAATGATAAGACAGGCGAAGATGGCTGTTCCCTCAAGTCTGATCTGCCTTCATCACAATTCCCATCAACTGAACTTGAGACTGAAGGTATATTATAATATATATATATATATATTTCTATAATGTGGGGGAATTAATTCTGCTGTTAACATGTAACAGTGCAGATGCAGCTGCATAATTAAGGGGATACTATACTAGATCGTTTTAAATGCAGTATGATCTAAATATTCATATAGATCTTTGCAAGGGAAGGAAACATGAATGCAATCTTTTTAAAAGCAAATTGTTAATCAGATTTGTTTGATTCTGTGTAGAAGTTATTTATCTGTAAGAGTGATGGAATTTAATTCATGAGCAGTGTTCATGTTTCAGGTTATGACTGCGACTTTGTTGAGCAATTTCCGGAAAAGTTCCAATGTTCTATTTGCCTTCTGTGCTTGAGGGATCCATGCCAGACCAGCTGTGGTCACAGATTCTGTCGTTCCTGCATTCTGCGCTGGCTAAGGTAGTACTGTGTGATAAGATAGCATTATTAGCATACTAACTTTGGCAATATAACTCTGTTGTAAGTCCTCAATCATCACTTATGGCCATTGTATGTATAAATTGTGTTTCCACTGTGGCTCACATTAAAAGTCACTTGAATCTCTCTTGTTTGCTCACCTGTTTGGTACTAAAACATGCCGATTGTTTGATAAACAGGTCTAAGGGATACAGGTGTCCGGAGGACCAGCAACCCTTGGATGAAGAGTCAGTATTCCCAGACAACTTTGCAAAGCGAGAAATTGAGTCACTGCTGATTAGGTGTCCTTTCAAATCTAATGGGTGCAATGAAGAATACCAGCTCAGAAGTAACAAGGTATGTATATGTAAGACACTCATCAAAGGAAGCATTTGAAGCTAATTTCTCAAAGGAGCAGGGTCAAATACGTTTAATGTGAATAACCCCAGAGAAGTTGAGCAGTCAACAAACAAATTATAGGGTAAACAGTATAGTGAGGTTACACATAACCTAACCATTAATAGTTTCTGTCTAATCGACTCTAATGTCTGTAATTGTTTGGATAATCCGATGCCTATGCTGTGTGGGTTCACCTCTCAGATATTTTTCCAAAATTTGTCATCACTGTTTATTGTTTCAGGTGCATATGAATGTGTGCAAGTTTCGATTGGAACTCTGCCCACAGGGGTGTGGAGAAAGTGTTACAAAGGAGAACTTCGAGGAACATATTCATCAGACGTGCAAACGCCATTTGATAGAGTGCAAATACTGCTTACACCTAGTCGAGCGAGAAAGTATTAAGGTAGAGAAAACTATGACTGTGGTTACGTATGTTAGAATAGTGATTGCATATGCCTGCAGCAAATATAGGCCAGTTAATGTAAATTACATTGTTTTCAATGTATTAGAAGCTGTTGCCTTTGAAAGATGAATACAAACGTTTTATGTGTAAGTGGATCATCTGTGAAGCAATCTGATATAATTTTCTTACAGGGACACATTAAAGAGTGTCCACTGAGGCCATACCCCTGTCCACTGTGCCAGAAGTTGCTGACAAATGAGCAGGTACATATATAATTGTAGTTTTTATCTATTTTTATAAAATTTGTCATACAGATCTTATTACCAACACGTAGTGAATATGAAGTCGTCGTCACAGTGAGCATTTCACTTAATTTCAGCAATTGCGACACGTGGAAACAGACTGTCAGAAGGCGATGGTGTTCTGCATGTTTCACCAACTAGGGTGTGACCAAACAGTATGTAAATATAATCATATAATTTCTGGTTTCATCAGTTATATAAGTTACTTCATATGTAAAATATGTAAAATTTAGGTGAAAGGGAGGTTGGCTGTAGAATGTGTGATTCATACTGATCTGTCCTGCACAGATGGAGAGGCATGAGTTGGCACTTCACATGCAGGAGTCGACACAAAAACATCTACGGTTACTCTGCACTGCAACGAGCGCTCTGCAGGAACAGGTTCACAATCTCAGGTAAAAATACATCTACAGTTAACAATAACACCAGCCACCCAACCACAATTATTCCTGACCTACAGAGGATGCCAGCTGTGAACCATGAAATACAAGTAACACGGCCAATTTTTAGCTCATCTGACGTAGTCAGATGCAGCTTGTAGAATCGCATGAGCGTGCGTCCGTCCGTCCGTTCGTGTGGCCATTCGGCTGTGCGTGCGTCAACAGTTGGGCACAAATCTTAACCGCTCGACGTACGGTCATGATATTCGGGACGTGGGGGGGGTAATCCGAAAACGAGTTGGGATGTCAAAGCTGGGGGTCAAAGGTCAAGGGTCAAGAGGTGTAAAAGAAGCGGGAACATTCCCTCCTTAACTTAAGGTATAGGGAGGAAATGCAGAATTGTGGCACAAATCTAAACAGCTCGACCTAGGCTTGTGATAGTCGGTGTATAGCATCATGGTAGGAAAAGCCATCACTGTCGCTGAAATTGGAGGTCACAGAGTCAATGGGCGCAACAGGGCAGATTTTAGACATTTTCTGAGGACATGGTCTGACGGAGCGATTGGAAACTTTTTTGTTTCAGCGGTGACCTACCATTTTTATGGCTTTATTGAAAAGGACCATGAAATGTGCTTTCCAGCTGACGTGCGAAGAGTGGTCTGATAACCTTTTGACCCTCAAGAGGAGGGTTAACAGATTTGTTGACTGTTAACAAAGGACTGAACTGCTTTTGCTATTAGAGCCCCCTTCACCCGCCCCTCCCCCCACCCTCCCCCACCCCCACCCCCACCACCACCACTACGCTCACGCTCGACGCATATCCATGATAACGTTAATATAGCGAAGTCATTAAAGCTACACAGCTATATCTTTACCTCCGCCCAACGGAGTTGGAGGAGGTTATGTGATCGCTCTCGTGTGTTCGCGCGATCGATATTAGCGCATCGAGTCAGCGAGCCAGCCAGCCAGCCAGCCAGCAGCAGGCCAGTCAGTCAGCAGCAGCCAGCAGCGAGCCAGCTCCTAACACATACATGTTACATGGGGCGTGTGGCGTATGTTGCTGGCGGAGGTATGCACTCTCCGTGAGTGCCCTCTGTCTAGTTATTACTGTACTACCGGTATAGCAAAGCCTATCAACGCGGTGGCGGGAGGGCGCACTTGATTCAGTTGCCAGTGAGTTTATCAGAAGAATAGCCGGCTACAGTACACGTCAGTTGAGCGCTGTCGCTCTGCGGCACTTGTTTTCTAAAGCAGTCTGTATTAGCACCCTGAGTAGCACCCTGTATTAGCACACTGTAATGAACCCTGAATGCTTGCGTGGGGCAAAAACATGGGGGCAGCCCATTACGCATGCATGTGGGTGAACTGGCACTATTCTAATCATAATTATTGCCTGGCAACCTGCAATGCAGATGTGTTAAAGTTCTCACAGCTGAGCGAAATTCTCGCCTGCCTGAATATACTTGGATTTCAGCAACTCAATGGAGTGAGGTTATCACGCACGAAGGGTGATGCCATCTTTGATTATTGATGACACTTGCACGCGCCATCTTGCGGCAACTGCTTTTGCTATTAGAGCCCCCTCCACCCGCCCCCTCCCACCACTCTCCCCCCACGACCACCACTACGCTCGCGCTCGACTCATATCCATGATAACATGTTAATATAGCGAAGTCATTAAAGTTACACAGCTGTATCTTTATTACTGTACTACCGGTATAGCAAAGCCTAGCTATCATAGATTTTAGATCTGTATTAGTAGTATCCTAGATATATGCTCTGAGCGCAAACGCGGTGGTGGGAGGGCGCACTTGATTCGGTTGCCAGTGAGTTTATCAGAAGAATACCCGGCTACAGTACACGTCAGTTGAGCGCTGTCGCTTTGCGGCACTTGTGTTTGTTTTACAATTACGTAATTCTTCCTTGCCTGCAGGTGGCACCACCATCTAATCTTAGCCTAGAAGTAACATAAATAGCACTGCAAATTCTTATAATTATACATGCTGCATTACCTGTAGTTCTCACTGGGGAACATGTAGATACAGGAGAATGAGAGACTGCTACCACAATAGTAAGCATTAGGCCCTACTAGTAAGCAGCCAGCCACCATATCATGCTTAAGATTGGACATGTAATTTTTCAAAACACGGTTTCTAAGATAGCCTAGCTAGATCTTGTGACAGTCATTGTTGTGATAAGCTGATTTGATTCTAGTTTTGTCCAATTACATGTTACAGCCCACCCGGACATTCCGTTAAGGCATCGCAACCACCCAGCCCTCTCTCCAAGCTCATGGGACTTGCTCTGAAATCACCAACGGCCGCCGACAATCCTGAGTACATGGCTAAACCTTCAGTGAGTGGTGCAGGTCTATCATTGCCGCTACCAGCAGAGGCAACACAGCAATTCTCGCCTACTGTGGTAGAATTGAACGAGTTGGCACGGAAGACTGTCAGGTTGGAACAAGAGAATAGAGAAATGCAGTTGAAGGTATGGTTCAGGTTATTGAGATGTCAATTGTGGGGAACCTAAATGTGACTTTCGTGCTTCCCTGGTTAGTATAAAATGAACAATTGTAGAGAAAAAACATTCTATGCATGGCATGATAGCCTGCAAGTTACAGAACCAATTCTTTATAACCTACAAGTAACACCACCAATGCATCATAGCCTACAAGTAACACCACCAATGCATCATAGCCTATAAGTAACACCACCAATGTATCAGAGCCTATAAGTTACACCACCAATGCATCGTAGCCTACAAGTAACACCACCAATGCATCATAGCCTATAAGTAACACCACCAATGTATCATAGCCTACAAGTAACATCACCAATGCATCATAGCCTACAAGTAACACCACCAATGTATCAGAGCCTATAAGTTACACCACCAATGCATCGTAGCCTACAAGCAACACCAAAAATCCTTCCGTTTCTGCCGGTTAATTCTGCCTAGCCTACGGGCAGCGCCAGTGATTAGTGTTGTGAATTTTCTGACTGTGTGCAGGTGCAGAGCATGTCAGTATTAATGGCGCAGACGCAGGCGGAGCTCACCAGCGCGCGCAGCCAGCTGTCTACACTCGACGCGAGGTGCTGTAACGGAACATTCTACTGGCAGGTAATACAGTCAAACCTGTGCTAGCAGACACGTCTACAGAATGCGTGCACTTGTCTGTAAAGGATGCTCACTCATTTTTCACGAGCATCAGTTAGACAGTTAATCCACCTCCATAGAATGAACATCTGTCGATAAAGAACACTTATAGGCTAACCCAGCTCGCCATGTTTTTAATACAGTTCCCTTTGTTCTATTAATATTGTGGATGATGTATCGATATATGAGAAAACAATATATCGTGGCACAATGCATTGCCATCGTAGCTGTTATAAGATATTGTAGTATGACTTGGATATAATAAAGGTAATAATTGCTACTGTCCCGATCATGTCGATGAATCGTTGCATCTCTCGCCTCGGCCGGCAGGTGAAGAACTTCTCCACGATAAACCCGGTCGAGCACAGCTCCGGTTTCTACACGTCCTACCACGGCTACAAGCTCTGCCTGCGCATCAACGTCTCGCACTCGCGCGCGCCCGCCGCCACGCTCTCCATCTTCGTCCACTTCCTCAAGTCGGAGAACGACACGCTGCTCGCGTGGCCCTTCAGCGGCCGCATCGTGTTCACGATCGTCGACCAGGACGACGACGCGGCGCGGCGAGAGAACATCGTCGAGCCGCTCGTCGCGGACTCGAAGCTCGAGGCGTTCCAGCGGCCGACGACGCGCCGCAACCCAAAGGGCTTTGGCTTCCTCGACCTCGTCAGCCTCGCGTGTCTCGGCACGAGGAATTACCTGCTGCACGACACGCTGCTGCTCAAGGTCACCGTGATTCCGTCGACAACAGCGTGATGATACGCGCGCCGCCGCCGTCCGACTGACTGACTGTGATTATGTCAAACGAGGCATTAATGCGATAGACATGCGATGTGATGCGGGAGCGGTCGTTAATATATGTGTTATGTATCATGTAATTACATTATGATCACCCGTTGTTTTACTCCTGAAGTGATGGGACACGTGTATACATTGATGTTGTCATTGCCAGTGTTTATAGCTGTACATTAAGATTTGTCTAGTGAACGATTTTATAGGTGTGGCACGTTTATGGATGTCGATCGGAGTTTTTAAACGAGAGGCATATATTTTACCATAAGTAACTAGGTTTATATTATATATATATTGTGTAGCAGTGTATTTTGCAGTTTCACAGCCATAAGGTTGAAGGTATATTTTGTAGCAACATTGGTTCTGCTGAAAGCGTTACGAATGCTGGGAATGGTTATATCTGGGAGCTGCATCTATAAACACTGCATTAATTTTTGTGCGGAGTTTATAACTACTAAGACACAAGTAGTTTAGACCCAAATACGTTTACCCCAACTTAAAATGGACATATTTCTTTGTGAAAGATCTTGTAAATTTAGTGACGACTTCAATCATCGTAAAAATTGATTAAAAATAAAAGCCACGCTAATGCAACACAAGATGAACTCTGACGCATTCTTTTTTTCATCAATTTATTTTACCAACCCACTGCGACATACACATGTATACAAGCGTGACAATTATGTAGACTTTGCCGGCGCAACATTCTGCTCCTTCTCGGCGAGAATGACCTCGATGTGGCACGGACTGCTCATGTACGGGTTGATGCGACCGTGGGCTCTGTACGTACGACGCCTCATCTGTGGAGCTCGGTTAACCTGCAGAGAGCAGCAACCGCGGAACATGGTGTTATTACTTCCGCCCACGGAGTGGAGGAGGTTATGTGATCGATCTCGTGTAGTGTGTTCGTGTGTTAGTGTGCGCGATCGATATTAGCGCGTCGAGTCGGCAGCAGGCCAGACAGTCAGCAGCAGCGAGCGAGCGAGCGGCCAGCCAGCTCGTAACACATACATGTATGTTACATGCTGGCGGAGGTATGCACTCTCCGTGAGTGCCCTCTGTCTAGTTATACATGTGAAATGCCTCACTGAGAGCAGGGTTAGTTGAAAAATTGAAAATCCACGCGAGACTTGTCAACCTTCCTGTCACAGGGAGGCAGCTATCTAGGAAACGTCCGACCTTCACAAACGACACCCCAGTACTCAAAAACGTCATCTACATACCAAATTATATTCCTTGGACCAATTCATTTCTGCATGTGCAACAATGGACTTGCACATCAGATTTTTTGTTAGCCCACTAGGTGTCTATACAGTTTGTAATGAGGGCGCATTCTGTGCATGTAAAAGCATTCAAGTATGTGAAATAACTGTATCAGTCTACCCACAACCCTGACTTGTGCAAATATAGGCCGAAATTTACCTGAATGTGCTCGATGAAAAGGTGATCTACGTCGAGGCCCTTCTGCTCTGCATTGCTCTCTGCATTCTTTAGCAATTGCAACAGGAACTCTGAACTCTTCTTTGGCCAACGACCTTGAGTTGTGCCGAACTGTTTCGCCTGTGCCTTCCTTCCTACACCTCCATTAAAACGCCTAAAAGATGCAACCAAACACAAATGTTAGCGCTAAGACATGAATAAGAATTTCGTTCATATATGACATATCTGCCAATGTTTTTCTTCTCATTCCAGCACGATCATCAGTGCCTGAAATGGGGGCCAGCTGAAGGTTGGCCCCAAATTTTTTTTGGGGGCGAGTACATTTTTTTAGTCACTGGCCCAAATGCATTGTTGGAGGCCCAAATTTTATACAGCAGCGCATCTAAGCCAGTGCGCATAGAGAGAGTGCGCGCGATCTGAGCGGATTCAGCTAGGCACCCTGATTCTCACCGGTCTCACTGCTAGCCTAATTTATCCATTACTATGCCACACTAGTGTTATACAGCGGGCACAGCATACAAGCGTATAAGCAAGCATGGCCGATCAGGGTGGGCCCAGGTCAGCGATACATGTACATAAATGTGATGTTATACATTGTATCAAGCTAGCCAGACAACGCATCTAGACATGTATGTTTGCAGTGTATAGCGGGAGAGTCGAAGAGTACCAGTCTAACCCGCCGTCAGCAAGCTAGGTCGGAACGAAAATGCACGAGCTTGGTCTGATTGTATCCTAGCGTGGACTCCGGTTTAGGATTATGATTAGTTAGGCCAACAAAAAAATACCTTTGGTTCGGGTCACATGGATTGTGAAAATTAGGGTAGGTAGGTAGGTATATTTTTTTCCCCTGCAAAAACATGGGTAGGCAGGAATATAATTTTTTTTCCACAAATTAAATATAGGAATATATAGGAATATAATTTGAACGAGCGAGTAACTGAAGTGTGGCGCAGCGCGTTCCACAGCGTGTGCGCATGCAAAATGCATCGATCTGTGGCGTGTGGAAAATATCACGTGTTTGATATTTTCTTCCACGTGTGGAAGATTGAACAGCGTCTGCGGAGTGGCTGTGTAAAGTTCCACACTGTCTCTATGTAACCGACCAATAGCAGGAGGTCAAGCGAGTCACGTGATCTTAACTTGCGGTTGCAGCGCGGCATTGATTGATGTACAGGGGGGTGGGGCATTGTTTAAGTCGCGGTCACTGAATATGTAGGGGGTGACCACCGCTGGGATGAGCCTGAGGGCGACAGTAAAACTCTTTCTTGGAATTGTGAAAAAGTTGCAAAAGGGTTGTAGCCTGCTTTGCCACTCAATTACATAATTTAACCCATGCATCAGGTGCCGTTTTGTGCAGCCGCGCGACTATTATACTTGGCAATAATTAATTGGTATATGTGTAATAATATCAGGAGTAAGATAATATAGGTTAAGATGATATATCTTACTCCTGATAATATTGTTAGTCCAACAAAGGGGGTTGGCTAGCCCCCCCCCCCCGAAATCCACTACTACACACGCGCGCGCACGCACACATGCACACACACGCACGCACGCACGCACGCACGCACGCACGCACACACACACACACACACACACAAACACACAGAGAGAGAGAGCAACGTAAAAACAACGTCAAAATGTCAACGTTAAAACACGTTCAAGTGTAGAGACGGTATGAAACTTTACACAGTCACTCCGCAGACGCTGTTCAATCTTCCAAACGTGGAAGAAAATATCAAACACGTGTGACATTTTCCACACGCCACAGATCAATGCATTTTGCATGCGCACACGCTGTGGAACGCGCTGCGTCATCGTCCACGTGGCGCAGCGCGTTCCACAGCGTGTGCGGCAACAGCTCTGCAGCCGCGTATAGCACGATAGCATGCGTATACTATATAGTACGCGATCGATCGCATACATCAAAGCCGGCCGCCGCGCCATACGACCTTCAGGCTCTGTTTATGAAGTAGCCGGCCCAGCTCTATACGACTGTTTCACGTTGTAGGTAAAATATTTTGGAACTCTCTTTAGGTAAATAAAATGACAAGAGTCGGATATTTGAATATGTATGATCGGCAGGCGGTATCTTTGAATTATATTTTTTCTTGAAACCCTCTAAAAGTGCAGCGCAGTCGCACATTTTTCACTCCAAAATGTGAAGTGCGGGCGGGTGACACGAACCAAAGGTAATTTTTTGGTCGGCCTTAGTAAACAAAGAACAACTCAAACATATCAGTAAATTTGTTAATGTGTTGAAATATTGGCAGTCACCCAAACTTTTTTTGTGGGGCCAGTGACTACTTGACTTGTGCAATTTTCGGTCGCCCGAGCTGGACATTGGTCGCCTGTGGCGAGTGGGCAACCGTCCATTTCAGTCTTATATTATTTAAGGAGCGTAAACCTTGTTCAACAAACTTTTGTCTTTGCAATTGAACTGCAAAAGTAGCCTCACATCCACACAGGTATGGCTCTGATAATGCCAAAAGCAGTTCAGTCCTTTGTCAACAGTCAACAAATCCATGTTTAACCCTTCTCTTCAGGGTCAAAAGGTTATCAGACACTTACTCTTTGCACGTCAGTGGAAAGCACATTTCATGGTCCTTTCAATAAAGTGATAAAAATGGTAGGTCAGCACTGAAACAAAAAAGTTTTTCACTCTGTCCATTAGGCCATGTCCTCAGAAAATGTCTGATAAACCTTTCCCCCACTGACATTTGACCTGTGACCTCCAATTTCGCACTGGTGATGGGTTTCCTGCCCATCACACTATACACCGAATATTAAGAGCATAGGTCGAGCCGTTCAGATTTGTGCCACAATTCCGTATTTCCTCCTATACCTTAAGTTAAGGGGGAAATATTCCCCCTCCGTTTACACCTCTGGACCTTTGACCCTTGACCCCCAAATTGGTCATCCCGAGTCCTTTTCACGATCACCCCCGACGTCCCAAATATTGTGACCGTACGTCGAGCGGTTAAGATTTGTGCCCAACTGTTGACGGACGGACGCACGGACGCGCGGACAGACGCACGGACGGACGCACGGACAATCATGCAATTCTACAAGCGGCATCTGACTTCGTCAGATGAGCTAAAAAGGAAAGATGGACAAAATTTTGAATAGGCCAAGTGGACCGATTATGGGGCATGAAACGGCGGCTGCCGGCAAAATAGCGCTAATTTCGTGCACTGCCTGGTGTTTGCATATATAAGCAATAACAATAGCCAAGTGAAAACAGCACAACACAGTACCTAAATGGTATGATCTCCTTCTTTTCTATGACAGCCTTCAGATATCTCTGTGCTCTCTGCAGATTCATACGCTTGATCGCCATAGCTGTTTCATGCGTGTTCTTGAAGTGAACACGGAGGTGTGAGCCTCGAGCCTTGCATGACTTTGCCGAGTTCTGTGGATCCACCGAGTATCGAGTCATGATGATGTTTCTTACGTCCTGGAAGTTGACACAGTCAAGTTGCAAGTTTAATTGTTGACCACCTTCTGGATGTATACACACATGCCACTAAGACGTTTTACACCCTTCTGGATGTATACACACATGCCACTAAGACGTTTTACACCCTTCTGGATGTATACACACATGCCACTAAGACGTTTTACACAAGTTATATATGCGAATCTAAATCACCTGCACACGTGGTCATATTGGCATGGTAGCATGTAATGTATATTGTAATTTACTACTTGGAAGTTACAGTTCAGTTGCAGGGGTCGAAAATAGCGGTATCCCGATATCCGCAGGATACCAGATTTCAATGCTTGGTATACCGCCGGGATAGTAAAAAAAAAATCGTCAAAATCGGGGTAGTGGTTGTTGAGTTATAAACTTTATACGGCAGCGCATCTGAGCGAGTGCGCACCCTTACTATATGCCCAGAGTAGCGTTATACACAGCAGGCATAGCATATTTGCAAGCGCAAGCGTGGCCGATGTTGATAAACATAAATGTGATGTGTATACATTGAAATTGTATCAAGCGAACCAGACAATGGTGTCAGACAATACGTATGCAGTGTAGTGTTGGAGGCGTATGTAAAATGAACGCGAGCAACATTTGGCATAAACATTTGGCAATTTTATGACATGGGGTGAATTTTATTCGCAATACCTATATACCTTTAAAGCCGCACAATGCGCATCCAAACGCTAATTTCTCCAGTACTAGACTAGCAAATACTTCGTGTCATGCATAATCACACTACCTTATGACAAAAATAAACTCTAGTTCCTCCCATTTCACTGCGCGTTGTCTTATAAAAGGTATTTAAAATACCTCCAATGTTGTTCAAATTCCCGATGTTGTTGACACTTCGCGTTGCCCTGCCAGGCAACCGCACAGCAGTGCTGCGGTACAGTGGTGCTGCGTACAGCGGTACGGGTGTAGCAAAGATAAAAACATGTGACATCCCCTCACCACTTCGAGGCTAAATTGTTTGGCAAACAGTCGGCGTTTGCGCCAGAATTGCCAGTTTTCTCACCTCTTTCTTGTGGTTTTAAGGCAAACGCGGCAGTGAAATGGGAGCAACTAGAGTTTATTTTGTCATAAGGTAGTGTGATTAGAATGAACACGAATTATTTGCTAGTCTAATACTGAGAAATTAGCGTTGGATGCGCATAGTGCCGCTTTAATGATGTAGTTATTAAATACTGGCTTTTAACAACCGCTCACAGGGAGTCAACTACAAATTATGAATATCAGGCGATCGATACATCGCTCGCCTATGGTACTGGTAGGATACGCAAGTGTTTTGCCAATGCTTATTTTCAAATGCTATATTGAGATACTAGCTGATATATAATGCTACTATTTCAAGATTTGGATACCAACATTGTTGAAATTACTATCCCAACAAGTGCGCATAGCGACAGCGCTCATCTAACGTCTACTGCGGTGACTCTGTGGTGGAGTGGTGGGATTCTAGTAAACCCTGTTAGTCCCAAATGTGTTCACATACACGCCGAAATAGTGAATGNAGATAAATAAATGGATGGATGGATGGATAGATGGATGGATGGATAGATGGATAGTTAGTTAGGTAGGTAGATAGATAGATAGATGGATGGATGGATGGATGGGATGGGATGGGATGGGATGGGATGAGATGGGATGGGATGAGATGGATTGATGGATGGATGAATGGATTTCCATCTATCCATCCATCCATCCATTTATCTATCTATCTATCTATCTATCTACCTACCTACCTACCTACCTATCTAACTGACTATCTATCCATTCATCTTGCTCATCTGCTACACACAAGTACACCGCACGCCCGCCCTGTGCACAAACAACATGAATGAGAGAACTGCCCGCCCTGTGCACAAACAACATGAATGAGAGAACTGACCGCCCGCCCTGTGCACAAACAACATGAATGAGAGAGTTCTCTCAAGCACTTGACCGGCATTTACGGGTAATTATCGGCAATAATAGGCGAAATAGAGTAGAGAAACATTAAGACTTTGGTAGTAAATACATTTCGTGTTTACATTTTTATATTTATTTATTGAGACGTTCCAAGTGCCTGTGGTACTGTACTGTGTCTATACAACTGACAATTAACTGCATGGGTCTTCAATCAGTTCATGATGTATTGGCTATTGCTGCTGCGACATTAATCAGTATTGTAATGTATTGATGGGTTAGTATACTGTGCCCCACAGTCTGAGTCTGTGATATATACAAGGCTTTATGCTTCTGCGCATTGAGCTGGAAGTCCCGTAGATACACTACAAGTAACACTATATCTATGCAGCAGTTGTATCATGATGTTTCTTAACTTGACCAGGCTGCGAGAGTAGAGTCACGTACCACACATTCGTGATTCGATGTTTAGTGATTCGGTGTCTCCGATGACATTCAGTATTTCGATATATGACTGTTTCTCGAAACTAGATATTTTCTGTGCTCAGTGTTGTAACAACCATGGGTGTTGTATGGCATATGGTACCCTAGATAGATCAACAGAGATGTGAATGAGGTGTACCTACTGGCTACTCTTGTTGGGTTATATTATATAGCATATGATCATATGCTTCGTGATCTTAACTGGGATACACTTCAAGACAGAAGGGAAAAGGCACGTCTCATAACTGTATATATAAAGAAACTCACAAACATTCTCCATCAAACATCACTCGATCATCACCTAGCAAGAAATGCTTCAGCCAGACCCACTACTCGTCAAACACATGAACTGAATTACAATGTTATCTGTCCCAACAAAGACTGTTATGGATACTCTCTTTATCACCGGACAATACCAACATGGAATGCACTACCACTTGGCACCTACTACCAAGACTGCTCCTGATGTGGCTTCATTTAAAAATTTAACTAACAGCGGTAAAGAAAACGCGAAGAAAATGTAGGTCATCAAAGCGATGCATGATGATCTGTACGTTTATAGCCACACCAGGCGATTAGTACAGCATCAGACATGATATTATTGTACTAGCAGGATACCTAGCGTTGCCCGGGAAATAAAGCACTCAGTCGGTGACCACTTGGTTGAAAAAAAAATACCCCCATAAAATCTATCTGTCTGTCTATCTATCTGTCTATCTATCTACCTATCTAACTAACTAACTATTTGACCGGCATTTACGGGTAATTATCGGCAATAATAGGCGAAATAGAGTAGAGAAACATTAAGACTTTGGTAGTACATACATTTCGTGTTTACATTTTTTATTTTATTGAGACGTTCCAAGTGCCTGTGTGCAGTACAGTGACTACAGTCTCAGGGCATGTAGCACGGCTAGTTAGTAGTATATAGTTAAAATGCAAAGCTACATTACTATTTACAATATACTATAATAAAGGCTTACCGTTTTGAAATAAATAGGAATCGACGAACCGAACAGAATTTACCACTACAGTCCACAGTGTACAGTGTACAGAGTGCAGTGTATTTATTTACAGCAGAACGCGCCACCTATCGGAAATATATTTACAGATTGCGTGACTTATGAATGAAATATATTTACTTAAATCGAGTTTCGCAATATCATAAATCGGTTCAGGGCATTACAACGTATAATTATAAGTGATAACTGCAGTTAAACTATAAATAATTTAGCCGAATAAGCGTGATCATAGTGAACTAACCCGTCAAAAAATTGTAAAAATTCTCCATGTCAAATAGCTCACGAGGGTTTATTTTTTTATTTACACGTGGCGCTGGCGGTGTAGTGGTATGGTGGTATCTGATTCTGTACACGTTTGATGTACGATAGGCACGCGTTGGGTGATCATTTAGACGATAAAAATAAATAGGCATCATGCCTTCAATTGCCGGGCAGGTAATTATATTCGCCCTGACTTATCACTACTAGTAGTAGTATTAGCAATTAAATATCAATTTATAGAACTGAAACCGACCGGCCACCAATGGCAATGCCAATGGCAATGGACCAAGGA